GAACATTCTCTAACACCATATACAAAAATAAACTCAAAATGGATTAAAGATCTAAATTAAGACCAGATGCTATAAAACTCCCAGAGGAAAACACAGGCAGAACACTCTTTGACAAAAATCACAGCAGTATTTTTTTTGAACCAGCTTGTAGAGTAAAGGAAGTAAAAGCAAAAATAAAAAATGGGACCTAATTAAACTTAAAGCTTTTGCACAGCTAAGAATTTCATCAACAAAACAAAAAGACAACCTACAGAATAGGAGAAAATATTTGCAAATGATGCAACCGATAAGGGACTAATTTCCAAAATATACAAAAAGCTCATACACCTTAATGTCTACAAAACAAGCAACCCGATCAAAAAATGGTCAGAAGACCTAAATAGACAGTTCTCCAAAGAAGACATCCAGATGGCCAACAAGCACATGAAAAGATGCTCAACATCGCTAATTATTAGAGAAATGCAAATCAAAAGTACAATGAGGTATCACCTCACACCAGTCAGAACGTCCATCATTAAAAAGTCTACAAATGATAAATGCTGGAGAGGGTGTGGAGAAAAAGGAACCCTCCTACACTGTTGGTGGGAATATAAATTGGTGCAGCCAGTATGGAGGTTCCTTAAAAAAGTAAAAACAGACAACATATGATCCGGCAATCCCACTCCTGGGCATATATCCAGAAAAGACTATAACTCAAAAAGTCACATGCACTCCAATGTTCACAGCAGCACTATTTACAACAGCCAACACATGAAAACAAAATAAATGTCAATCGACAGGTGAATGGATAAAGAAGATGTGTCATGTACATACTATGGAAAACTACTCAGCCATAAAAAATAATAAAATAATGCCATTTGCAGCAACCATGGATGGACCTAGAGATCATCATACTAAGTGAAGTAAGCCAGAAAGAGAAAGAAAAATACCATATGATATCTCTTATATGTAGAATCTAAAAAAAGGACACAAACGAACTTACAAACAAAACATAAACAGACTCACAAACGTAGAGAACAAACTTATAGTTACCATGGGTATACTATTTGATGTTTAAGAAGTGCCCTCTGACATCTAGAAACCAACACTTGAAAATGGCTTATATTAATTCAAAATATATTATATAGATACCAAATAAATACTTGTTGAATAATTAGTCATCACATATTATTAGCTTATTAAAAATTCTGAAAGATGATGCATTACAAGGACAATGCATACAGGTAAAATTTTTCTTTATAGGTGTAAGCAAGCATCTGGAGTTCTTCTGCTGAACCTCTTATTGGGAGAGATATTGGGTTAATCAGTAAAATTTTTCTTTATAGGTGTAAGCAAGCATCTGGAGTTCTTCTGCTGAACCTCTTATTGGGAGAGATATTGGGTTAATCAATTGCATCTAAATTAAAGTTTGCTTACAATTGAAAGTGCCTAGCAATCCTGATGTGACAAGACATACCAGGAGATTAAATTAATTAGCAGGCAAAGCTAATTAGCAGTAGTAAGATTAACTAAGTAGATAAGATTAAACATAGGTGGGGTACTAGACAAAAATGTTTGAAGATAACATGCTTGGTTCTAAGACTCCCTAATGGTCTTCTTGCCTTCAGTCTTGCCCGCTTCAAGTTACAAATCTATACAGGATTTTCATAACTTCAGCAATTTGGTATGAACAAAAGATGGCAAAAAACTGCAGCAATATGAAACATGCAGGAAAGAAACAGATACTGAAAGCCATTACAGAAAAATTTCAAGGTGCAGCTTGAACTAAAATATCTGGATAATAGGACAGGAATAAAAGATAAGTGTAAGGGATATTATGAATCATGGAGAGAAATCTTACTCTAATACAGTAATGACTTAGATATGGGGCTATGAAGTGGCTTATTAATTTGTTTTCACATACCCTTACTTACAAAGATAGGGAAAAACCCTGACAGCATGCATAAACAAAGTGTGTACGAAATTAGAAAGAAAACTCAAAGAAGATATAAATTAGATGCAGGAACTGAAAGACACTATGGTGGCCAAAACATGATGATAAAGAAGATGTGATAAATATATACAATGAAATATCACTCAGTCATAAAAAAGAATGAAATTCTGGCATTTGCAGCAACATAGATGGACCTAGAGAGAATTATGCTTAGTGAAATTACTCTATGTTATCACTTATACGTAGATCTAAAAAATAAAACAAATATACGTAACAAAACAGAGACTCACAGACATTGAGAACAAACTAGTGGTTACCAGAGGGAAGAAGAAAGGGGAGAGGGCTGAGATAGGGGTATGGGATTAAGGAATACAAACTACTATGTATAAAATAAATAGCAACAACAATATATTATACAGCACAGGGAAATATAGCCATTGTTTTCTAACAGCTTAAAATGGAGTATATAAGTTATAAAAATATTAAATCTCTTTGTTACATATCTGAAACTAATATACTATCGTAAATCCTGTGAATCAACTATACTTCAATAAACAGATAAAAATAAACATTATTTTACATATTAAAAAGAAAGAAAAATACACTACAGTGGTCAAAAAAATAAGTTTTCCCTTGGGAAATTGATACAGAAATACCACTTTTATTACAGCAAGGGTATTAAGGGATGGGTTTTTTTTTAAGACAAAAGAGCTGTGTTTTGTTATAATGAATTTAAAACTTTGGACAGATAACTGGTTAGAAATATTCTAAGGACAATGACATTGGGAATAAGCCTGAGGAAATAAAAAAAAATAGTGTAATGGAGCAGGATGCATGTAATTTATATAATGAATGTAATTAGAGCTCTCAGAATGAATTTCAGCAAGACACGGAGTGTAAGGTAGAGCCCTGAGGAATCTCTATTGTAACTACAGGTAAGGGAGGCAGTATCTTCTAAAGAGAAGCTAAAATAGTAAACCAAGCTCCAGGCCCATACATGTACCTGCTTTCAGAACTGATGTTTCACAGAGCCTTCAGACTCAACATAACCAACAACGGATTCATCACTCTTAAAACTGTTTCCACACTTTTATGAGTGGTACCACCATCCACTGGAACACCTCTGTCAGAAACTGAGAGATCTGCTATCTCCTCTCTCTCCCTACCCGCACCAAGTCTGGTGAACTACTGCTGTTAAAGTTCTTAAACATAGTCCTCTCTTTTACTTTCCCCCTTTCTATTCCCATTGCTGGTCCTTTCACGTAGATCTTCAACAAATTTTACCTGGACTATGATAACAATTTCATAACAGGTCCCCGCTGACTCCAATCTCGGCAATGAAAATAAAACTTAAACTACTCAGCACAACACAAAATCCCTCAAAAGATCCTTCTTACACTCCTTCCTCATATTCTGGGTCCCATCCAAGTTGAACTACTTGCAGTTTCCCCAGCATGCTCTATGACACGCTGTCCTCTGCCTGTGAACCCTCTTCCCCATTCCCCATGGCTAACTCCTAACTATCCTTCAAACCTCAATAACTTGATTTTGTTTATTTACTCTATCTTCCCTCCTTAACTAGAAACCACTTACAAATAAGGGCTGTGTTTTTGATCACCCAGCACTAGAGCAGCTCAATGACTGCATATTCATTCATTCCATAAGCATGTCCTATTATATAAGTGGCAGCCCAGTGCTAGCTACTGAATAAAAACAAAGCTTGCTCAAACAAACAGAAAGGAATAAAAACAGCCACCCCTTAGTTTTGGTAGGGAATAAGATGTATATGAAAGAAAGAAGAATCAAAAGAAGGAAACTATTTAAAGTCAGAGTCAGATAAGAGGTAAGAATCAATGTGAGTGCTTGGATACCGAGGGGCAACTATACTTTTTAAAGGAACTAAGAATAATGTAAACTGCCCAATCATTTGCTGTACCCCAATTTTTCTTTTGCAATAACTCAAAATCTGTTAAATAAGTGGATAGAGGGCCGAGGACAAAATCAACTATTTATTGGGAAGATGAATAAAAAAATACACAAAATGACTATATCAAAGAATGGAAAAAATTTTAAGAACTCTTCAAAACTTCACTGAAAGCTTCTGCACTGAAACAAAGAGAAAAAGAAGTACTATTTTGTTTTAGCTACAGCTTATGTAGATTTAAAAATACAATTTAGTAAGTGATCATACCGGGTGTTAATTCCTCCATGCAGAGAACAACCTCAGAAGTTTGTTAACAGAAGTAAAGTTATGTATTCCCTTAGTGTGTCTCATGGGAGTTGAAGAAAAGAAAATTGAACTTACTGTCCATGAGGATACCAGCGGTGCTTAGTAGTAAAGAACATTTTGCTAAGTTGTTCTATCATGGGTCCTTGCTCAAAGTGTTCACCTTTTTCTTCTAATCTAGTTTTTAGCACTTGATCATGTGTTTCTTCATTATTATGCACAGGATCTGGCCGAGGGATAGGCTACAAAATGATCAGCAATGAACAACATCAAAACTTAGAAATGTAAACCAGCATTTGACTGACTTTACAATAAAATAATTACCACTCAGTAATTCATCACAGTATCTCAGGTGCGTAATTAAGTTATCAGAACAGAATTTCACTTAGTTGCATTATTTCCTAAAGAATCAGAAATATTTTTCTTCTCATATCAAGTTTTGAGTTTTCTTTCCAATAGTAAAGTTCTTATTTAAAAGTTATTTTTCCCCAATAATCAAATATTTATTACTTTAGTTTATGTTTCTCAAAACCATTATTATGCTCATTATTATTTTTTAACTTAAAAGTTTAGTCTCTATCTTGCATATCACTAAAGTGAGATATAATGAAACACCTTTCATTGAAAATGACATTTCTTATACTCAAAGGAAGCAGGAAAATTTTTGGTGTTTTCATTTTAAGTGACTAAAATGTCATCAAATGATGTTTATGGTAATTCGAGTAGTTTTTACCCCCAAAGACATTAATTACTAAAAATCTCATCTCCTCCTGACAAATATGAGTGACATAGCATATGCCAATCAGCAACAATGGCTAACTAAAGCCCTTAAAAATCAGTGCCTTGGAAAATCAAGTTATCTATATTTTAAATATTAAGTGATAACATATGTAACAAAAGATTGTAACATAGCCTTGCTTTACAAATATCATATACACGCATTACAATACAATGAAAATATGAATTTACAGTCAGAAAGGAAACAATTCAAACATAGATGTCTTCTTTACACTTCACATACTATTAATGACAACTACTACATTCTACCACTGTATTAAATGTTACAGCATATATTTATTTAGCTTATGTATATGAAAAAAGAAGACCTCCTTAAAAGGCAACATATAAGTGAATGATGGTAGCACAACTGACTAAGTACTACAGAAACGCAAAGTAACAAAGATGTTATTGAGAAGTAGAACAGGAGCCAAGTCAGAGCTTTGTTACAGAGCACAGAATGAATTCTAGAAGGAATAACAAATATTTTAAGTAGGTAAGGATACACAATAAAAGAGGTAATCTTAAAAAATGGATCTTTAGAGACCAGATTATGAAAGGCCTTCAAAGTCAGATTCAGAGGTAACAATTTGACATAAGCAGAAATAAGAAACTACTTCCTTAGTGTGGGAGAGAATAAGGAGAAAGTATAATGAAGAGGTTAAGAACTTGGGCTTTGGTCGCTAACTCTGCTACTTACTAGCTCTGTGACCTTGGACAAGTTATTTAAGCTCTTACTTTCCTTTTCTGTAAAATCTGCGAAATAATACCTAATAAGGGTTTAATGAAGATTAACTGAAATAATAATATACAGCATGCTTAGTTGTCCCTTGTATGCTAGAGTTCAATAATGGTAGGTAGCTATTAACATTTTTTTAAGGCCTCAAGCAGGAAAAAACTGATAAAAACTTATTTAAAGAAAAAGTGCGCCTTAGATATTTAATTTTATAAGATCATCTCTTACATGTAAAGTGAAATATTAATATTTAAGTGTCTTTTTGCAAGCTACTATCAGATCCTGAGGGACACTAGCAAACACAAGATTCTGTCTTTCAGGTTATCATACTTGTTGCTAAAGATCAAATGTTTTAATTATTATTAAAAAGTTAAGTTATTTTCAAGTGTTAACAAATGTCTATTGTCTCTCTTACAATTCCCAAGCAGGCTCAATTCTAATACATCAAAAATTCTTTCTGCTTTGTATGGTTAAAACCATCTTCTTTTCTAGGCACATAGATAGAAGACATTGGAATTAATGGATTCTTTGCAGTCTAAACCAAAAGCCTCTGCAGACTCAGAGTTGATTTTTAGGTAGTATTTGATCTCCTTGATCAAATTTCAAAGAAAATATACATGAATATTTCAGTAAAAAGGAAAAGCTAAAATAAAACTGAACGTCAACTTTAAAAATCATTCAGAACTGTCAACCTGAATTTCTCGTTAAGAATATTCAAATTTTGACTTTTGAAATTTTCCACTAAACCAACCACTAAAAAGAACTGCCTAGAACTTACATCTTAATTTTTCGAAGTCATTATACATTTTTTGGGGGCCCCTGGTTTAACATCTTTATTTTCCTAAACTAGAAATCCTAAATTCTAGGGAAATATTTTTAGTATTTTAGTTTTAATAAAACATGTACCTGCCAGAAGCAGAAAGAAGGATCTTTTTACCTGGATCCATGGAAAATAATCAACAGGCTCTAGACTCAAAGGTGAATTACCAGAAAACCAAAGATGCAAATCATCTTAACTTTCCTAAAGCCAGTGTCGCTAGGTATTTCTACATGTGACCAGAATCTTTGTAGGCAATATGCTTTCCAGGGCCTAGAAAATCAAAGGGTCCACTAGAGTTGCAGCTATTTCCTTGAGAAAAGAAAAAAATCAAATCTAAATTTTAATTCATGTTTGAATATAATCATTTAATGCTAAGGTACTATCTTCACGAAATTTATAAATCTGGATTCAAAAAGAACATATTCTAACAGTAACATGTTTTCAGGAATGTTTCTTATAAAGCCCAATCTACAATTTATTACTTGCGAAACAAAAAAATCCACGCTTCTCCATGTAAACATGTCTTAGCATTAAGCATGAAGAGACAGCACTAAATTTATTCATTTAATCAATATTTATTATGTATTTACCAAGTATAGGTGTTATTCCAGGCACTGAAGATGCAGCGGGGAACAAAACACATGAGTCCCTGTCCTCATGAAGTTTACATTTTAATGGAGGAAGACAGACAGAAAAGCAAGAAAATATCCAGTGTGCCAGAAATGATAAATGCTACTGAAAAAAGTAAAGCAAAGAAGGACAATAGGGAGTCCAGGGGCAAGGGTTCTACTTTAAATGCAGTTGCCAAGGAAGGCCTCTCTAGGTAACAAATAAGATCTAAAGGAAAGGGAATAAATTATGAGGATTTTTGGGTAGGAAAGCATTCCAGGCAGAGGAAGCAGTAACTGCTAAGGCCCTGAAGCAGGAGCTTCCTAACATACCTACTTAACAGGAGACCAGTGTGGCAGCAGTGGAGTGATTACGTGTAAACTGACAGGAGTGATCTTCTAGATTAGAGAGAGGAATACTGAGGCTTGGGAGAGGAGACAACTACTCCTCAAAGGGAGTGCAACAAAAAAGAGGAGGCAGAGAGATGGGCAGGTATGCAAGGGAGTGATTTTAATGATGATCATGGGATCTATGCTAGCTAAGAAGAATGTATGAGCTATACAGGGACTGAAAAAGTAATTCCATCAATTGATGCAGGTCTTAATAATATGAGGATGAATAATTCTTGGAGGTGGAAAACAAGCAGGAGTTGGTAGTAAGCTAGCGGAATTCTAAAAAATCTATATTGGGAGGAAGGAGGAGAATTTATTTGTGACTGAAACATCTCTAGGGTATAAACATGGGAGTGGGGACTGAGATAGAAAAGATCAAGAAGTGAGAGGCTGGGGTGGTAGAGAGATCATTTACATGGACAAAGAATTAGAATAGAAACAGTGTTGGAGAGTGTAACAGTAGATCTAAAATCTTCAAGGAAGAGTGAAGACATTCGGGGAGGTGGGGGGGAGGGTAAGGAGAAGTGAACTGTGGGATGACAGGTGACAGACCAAAAAAAAAAAAGATAAGTAGATGGTATAGTTTAAAGATGCAAACTGCAAAGCCAGAAATTGTAGAAAATGTTAGGGAGAAGAAAAGATGATCTGGATATGATAGTGAGGAGCCGCAGGGACACCTATTTCACCTCTAGGCTCGGTAGTAAAAAGATTTAGGAGAGAAAACCACAACCACTTAAGAGTGCTGGGGAAGCAGTGGCACCACAGTCAGGTTTCTGTTGGAACCAGTAGGTGAAGGCAACACTCTGGAAGAGGTTAAGGTTATGAGAGATTTTAATGATGATAGTAAGTGGTAAAAGTAACCATAAATATAACACAAGATAATGGAAGAATGCATCCTACAGTATGAGCTGGAGGGTTTACAGGCCAAAAGACAAGGACTTATGCCTATTTTCCACACACTGCCCAAAGAAATGAAACAAAAAAGGTATTGGATTATTGCCTATATATAGCTAGAATACAAAGCAGGCAGACAAAATGGTAAAAGCAGGAAAATATCATTAATTTATTTTGTCAAATCAACCAGTACTCTGGCCCTAATAACGGCTTTTAAAAATAGGTACCACTACATGCATCATGTGATGAATTATCTTCTCCTCAAAAAGCAAATCAAACATTACCAAATATAGTAGAAGAAGGCTTAAAGAACTAGAAGAAAGCAATTCAAATATAAAATAATAAAAAGACTTGGGTCAAGTGAAATAAAATGTATTAAAAACAAAAACAAAACCTCATCTATTTAGTGTCTGGCTCTTGAAGAAACGCAGAAAAAATTAAACAAGACTACTTAAAATTTATGCCCAAGTTGGCCCATTAGAAAAACTAATTAAAATAGAAGAAATTCACCAAACAATAAAACAATGACCAGAACCAATACGAAAGTTATGAAACAGCACTCTAAAATGTAAGTTTTTCATAGTTTATTAGATTGCAATATATAGTATGGGACAATTTTTAAACAATTTATACTAAGTGTGTTTGATCCCTAGTCAGAAATCTACAAAATTTTATTGACACAACATTGTAAAAAGATTATAAATCAATAAAAAATGTTAAAAAAAAGAAAAAAGAAATCTACAAAATTTTAGACCAGAAGACTGATGCCATAATTGTGTTTACATGGTTCACTGGATGTACTGAAAAAAGGCTTTAAAGAAAATGAAAAGAAATAAGAGAAAAACCAAAACAGTAAAATAAAAAAGCCAAAAGAAGATCTAAACTAAAGAAAGTCAAACAATTCTCTTCTCTTTGGATACTGTAAAGAAGTGCAAACATTTCTAACAGCAAATTAAAAATTGTAAGAGATTTTCTAATACATACTTTTGTGTGTTCATATGGAATGTCCACAGAAGGGTGATAGCATACTATTGTCTTGCCATCAGATGTCAAAGCAAGCTCTACTTTGCTTAAAAAAAAAAAAAGAATGGTTTACAAACATAGTTATACTGTATTCAAAGCAGAATGATTATTAGAGCTAAAATTTATTAATCATGAATCCCTGAAGAATAAACGCCATGCCACTAGACTGGTAAATCTGGTACCCGTTATCATAGAAGAAACTCAGACTATGCCACAAAATATGTTAGCTTAACTACTACAACAAACCCTTAATGCATTATTCACTATTTCATCCAAATTATTCCTCAAATTTTTGTTTTTCATCTATCCAAATGTTTGGAAGAGATCTTCATGTTCACTCATCTATTAATAGAACTTCTTTTCCTTATCTAAAAGATACATCCAAAAAGCTGAAAAGAGATTACATGGTTGAATTATTAAAGTTGAAGATCAGAGAAATACCTAATCTTCCAGGTAAAGGATCACCTGAATTTCTAGTCATAAAGATTGTAGCTGAGCAGTTTTTCTAGATAAGCATTTCTCCAAGCACCTTTGGCAGAACAGTACGACTATAAGAGGTCTCCCTTAAAAAGGGTTCTGTGGTCAAATAAATTTGGGAATAAGTGAATAGTATCCCTTCCCACCATTAATAGCCCTCAGAAGAACAAAATTTGGGCAGTACTCCTCCAAGCATCTTCAGAAATGCCCTGGCTGGATCCCATTCTTTTAGGTACCAACTAACCAAGCCTGTTTTTCAAAGACCTTGACAAATACTGTTGTACTTAGATCAATACACATTCTAAGGAGCACGATTTTCAGCTTTTATTAAACTTATGTGTATAGATGTCTATAAATTTTAATTTTTAGGATTTCAACATCAACCTGTTTGAACCAGACTAGCAATTAAGCAATAAGGTATATTTTAGCAAAACAGGGTAAGGTATGAGATGGAACACTGTAACATGGCTACAATGAACATTTAATCTATCAAAGGGTTTCTAATGAAGGATGGGGTTTTACATAATGCAAAACACGAATGAGACTCAATCTTTGCAGGTTCAAAAAGTATTGCTATTACCTAGTCTAATTCCATCACTATCTTAGTACTTACTGAATATACAACAAAAACTCAAATTAAAACTGGTAAGAAGAGGGAAGAAAATATACTTTTATTAAAATTTACAATAAAAACAATGTAGCTTAAGAAAATATGTTATCATTTCTGCACATAAGACTCTGCTATAGAGATAAAGGACAACATCTCATTCATATGTTGTTCCTAGTTCTTAGCATAACGGCTAGAATTGAATAAGTACTAAATAGACTGTGACCGAATAAAATACTTATAATTTAGGATTATTCAGTGTCAACAAAAGATAAGATAAACAACTGCTTAAGCTAACAGATATGATCCTAAGAGAAAAGTATAAAAACTAGTTAACTTTTCCAAAAAGCTAAAGAACGCTTCAGGAAGTAAATATAGCATTTCTAACAGCATGTCTGTCCTATAACAAATGAAGTATTCACTGAAACATAATGATAATGATTTTTATTTAAAACATTTATAAGCCCAGACACTGGGTAAATAAGTTCACTGAAATAATTTTTAAAAACAAAATTAAAGAAAGAATCATCAGAAAAGAAAGCAGAAAATACCAAAACAAGAAAATTAAACCATTTCAGATTAAGCAAACAGACTTTTTTTTTTCAATTGAACTTCAATACATACCAATTATAGTCATCTGGAAGACAATACGTAGATTTATGATAAACACAATACAAGGCTCCATCTGCAAAAACCCCAAATAGTAAGACGGATTTAGTTAATTTAAGCATATGTTCTCACATAAATGTAATGTTAATTTCACTCATTCAACCAATATTTACCATATTTACTATGAAACAGGGCTATAGTAGGGGCTAGGGATTCAACAAGATCCAGCCCCTGCCCTCAAAAAGGGTGCAAGTCCAGTGACAGACAGACAAGTAAACAAACAATTCCAATATAAAGATAAGTCTTGTTAGGAGGGGTAAGCATTGGGAGTGACAGGGGCACAGGGACTGATTACAAAACAGGATTGTGCAAGTTCAAGAATGCCTTTCCAGTGAAGATAACACTTCAGGTGTTCTGAAAGATGAAGGAATGAGTTGGAGTTGGTAGGGGATGAGTACAGTGTTCCTTGCAGAGGGAATAAAAAGTACCAAGGAAAAGGGGAAAGAAAGAACATGAAGTATTTGAGTATTCTAAAAACTTCAGTGTGATTGGAGTGCATAACTCATTAAGGGAGAGTGTTAAGTGATGAAATACAAAATAAACTGTTTAAAATTAACTTTTCTTAATCAAAATGCTGACAATTCAAATATATTTTCCTTTTTTAGAAAATCTGCAAATTCAAGAGCCATGATTACTTTTTTAAAAGGTTCCCCTCTGTTCAGAGAAATGGTATTCTTTTAAATATAAAGAAAACATGTATAGTTTAAAAAAAATTCTGAATATATCTTGGTTAAAGCCAAGGATCGGCATCTCCAACTGAGCCTCTTGCTCCTCAGTATGGAATGCCATCCCCACTCTGTTCAAATACCACTTATCTTTCGAAAGTCAAATGCTACTCTTCTGTGAAATCCTTTTTCCCCTCTCTGCCCATCACGGAATTGTCTATGTTATATGTCTCATAACCAACACTTCATACGACATTATTATACAATTTTTGTGGCCCTTTTTTTCCTGCATTAAGTTATTTATATGTATCAAAATGTCTAAAAAAAGATCTGTTTTCCTTCTCTGTATACCTCTCCTTTCTCCAAGGATTGCATATACTTAGAGGTCTAAATATAAACCCTTACTCCAATGCACTAAAAGGTACCTTAACAAAATTCACTATTATTAATAAAAGATTACTCAGCAAAATGTCAACCCTAAAATGTGATTGATGTGAAGATAACAAAACACAAAGAATTAGAAATATAACCTCATCTTCCAGAAGACTTATTAATTTTCAATTATCTGTGTTAATACAGAGGAGTATTAAGAAAAATCAGAGAGTAATATAAAAAGCATTTACACATATTTTATTTTCTTGTTTGACATTTTAAGGATCTTCTTAATTATGGATGGATTAATATTAAGTCTATATTCTCTGAATATAAACCAGCTAGGTGATGTACATGTTAGCTGAAAGAAACAGGGCTGGGTGGCAGAGACAGGATAGAAATTTAGTGGTCTTAACTGGGCAGGAGGGAAAACTCAAGACAACAGTATTTTAGTTCAACAAGAAACTCTAAAATTTCTACCCTCATGACATACATCACATTCTACTTCATATTCCAGGTATTATTTCCATAGATGTCTGTTTCAACTACAAGTCTAAGTAAGTTCCTTAGTCACATCTTGTTCATTACTGTATCCCCTACAGAGGTTATCATTAAAAAAAAGATTGCCAAACTACCTCTAAAATGTTAATTTCAGTATAATACTTGAAAAACTCATCTGACATATAACTAAGAGAAAAATTCTAGATATGGTTAAGTATACTTAACACATAATAAGGCGTGATGCCAAAGTTAGAATCATCAATCCAAAGTAACTTAGTGTGCCAAAAAGAATTTTAATGAGTTAGCTCTCCATATCTTACAGGGTTTTGTTTATATATATATGTGTGTGTGTGTACACATTTTAATTGCATTTTGATATGATCTACAAAAGCTGATAGTTCACTTCATTTTCAAATGTTCAATATTTGAAATTACTACAAGAAAGGCAGTACAGCAGAAAGTATACTGGGGAGACACAAGTTTTGATCATAGCTCTAATTTCCCAGATATGCAGCACTGGGTAAGTTTCTGATGGGCAGAGAACTCAAGTTCCTTCACCTTCAGAAAGAGAATAATACCATGTGATAGGTAAGCTACTGTAAAATGCAAAGTTGTAAAGATCAAATGACTTAATGAGCTTAAAAGCTGTGAAATTCCCATGTTGCCTGTATGCTTCAGAAGGTTTTAAATGTTCCTTCTGGAACATAGGAAGGCCGTTTTATTTGTGCTCACTGAACTTTCTAATTACAGTTTTGCTTTGCCTCTAATCTTAATGTCCTTCCTTCTCATATAAAATATCAATAATAATAGTAATAATAGTTTACCTTCAATAGTAATAGTAGAAATTGTGTATAACAAGGGGCTTAAGGATGCAAGAAGTTAGGTAGTCACTGATTATTAGAATGATTGAGTAATAACAGAATAATTTTCTGGGGTAACTCAAATTAATTTTTCACTAATTATTTTCACAACTCCAATCCACTGAGATCCAATAAGCATTTATTTATCACTCATCATGTATGAGAGGCACCAAGGAAACTAAAATAAATTAGACAAATTTACAATTGAGTTGGTAAAGTATACATAGACAATTTTAACTTATCCAGGGGCAGATTAACTCGTTTTCAGATTAACCTGAGTTAGGACAAACTGCTGTTTCAGGACATGAACTAGGTAAAAACTAATTAGGTCTGACTTCTCATCAGCCTTGGGGCTGAGTTCCTATCAGGGCAAAGGGGAGGCTAAGCAAGAGAGATCTCTCTCCTAAATCTCAACAACGAAAATGCTCCTAGGTAATCAAGAGCTGACTCTCGTTTTGTTTTGTTCTATGATTTCAGTGTATACTAAAGTATACACTAATATATAAAGTCTCACCAATCTCCTCCTCTGTTTACTTAATTATACTACTTTTTACCCTAGTTTTCAACCAACTCTTTCCGCCTTAACTCAGTAAACAAATGTTCAATTACAAATGGTAGTAAATAGGAAACATGAAGGAGGAGACTGAGGTCAGGCAGTGGTATGTAAAAGTCAGTTGACTAGCTAGCTAAACATGAAGAAGCAAACCTATTGTAGCCTTCTAACCTGTCTGCTTTAGAAATGGGAGAATGCAGTTCACAGACAGAAAAAGAAATGTGAAATTTGATTGGGAAATAAGATTTTAATAGTCTGCTTATTTATATGGTCAATATTTTGACTATCAAACATGTATGATCAATGTTTCGAAGAAAATATTAGACTATATACATTTCTTTGAAAAGAAAGAAATTATATTTTTTAAAAAATGGCTAGGTACATAGAAAAAACACAAAGAGAATACACCCAAATATTAACAATGATTATCTAAGATGGAATTGTAAATTTGTCCTTTATTTGCTGATTTTTAGGAACTAAAAATTAAATTATGTGAAAACATAATAAATATAAGTTACTCAAACCAGAAAAAGTTCCTCTTTATCAATCCCTCACTTGCCCTCAGCTAAATTCCACTTATGGTCTACACAGATAACCTATTTGGCCCATATCTTTTACTCTGCATTTATATATGTACACATACACACACATATGGTAGGTCATCTTTCAAATGCACAAGATCATAACAGCTGTATCATACTTATAGTAAAGATGTACCATAATTTATCCATCTCCCTTTTGATAGACGTCTAGGCTTTCTCTGCCTTTTCCATTATTGCAAGCACTCCTGCTAACAATATAACCAAATGGCTTAAGTTTTCTACAATTAGCACATATTTCTATAACATCTGAAGGAGACTGATGGATTGACTGATATATGTATGCATAGGGAGGTACTGGGGATTGAACTCAGGACCTTGCGCGCACTCTATCACTGAAGTATACCCACCCCTGCTGAATAAGTTTAACTTTTTAAACATTAAACTCAGGGTGGGGGATGAGGAGGGATAAATTAGGAGTTTGGGATTAGCAGATACAAACCACTCTATACAAAACAGATAAACAACAGGGTCCTACTGTATAGCACAGAGAACTATATTCAGTAGCTTGTAATAACCTATAATGAAATAGAATATGAAAAATGTATACTTATAATCGAATCATTATGCTGTACACTAGAAACTAACACAACATTGTAAATCAACTATACTCCAATTAAAAAGAAAACTCACTTTGAATTGGAAATAGATGTTTAAAGACAGTTCTGTATGATATTGCCCGTTTTACTGCTGCTAATGCCATGGTGAATCAAGATGCTTATCAGGTGGTACGAAATAAGATGACTTGATAAGAAACTGCTCTTAAAATCTGCTTCTAGGCGCACCTTTTCTCATCCCTGCGTAAGAGATAAAGAAAAATCAGTGCTACCTATGGTAAATAAAGTGATACATTGTACACTACAAAATCGGTCAGTACCTATAACTACAGTCGCCTAATGCAAAATTTTAAACAGCTTTCAACTTCCGCACAATACAGGGCAAAAAGCAACATCATCAAAACATAAAATCAGAAAAAGCAGTATCATCAAAACATAAAATCAGAAACCCCAGAACTATGCCCATTACCATTTTTCTTAAATGCAAACTTTTCAGCACCGCATGTAGTTCTTTCCATTCGTGAGTGCTCAGCAAATGTGTAATTACTCTCAGAAATAGTCACTCACAAATGCTACACAGAGCATTTTCCTTCATAAAGTTAATGTGTCTGTGTCCAACCTTCAGGTATTGTACACAAGATCTTATTATATCTCTTAAAGTGGTATTCTGTTTCTGATTAAATGAAATATTAAACAAGAACGCCTATCCTTAGCTTATTAAATACTGATTTAGAGGAACAAATATAAACACCCTAAAGTCCTAAATAAAATTTCACCCTCTTGTATGAGTCTTAATTTTCCAAGGTGCTTTCACTACTATGTCATTTTACTCTCATATTAATCATGAGGTACCTTTATTTTGATTCATGAAGAAACTAAAGTACAAAATTGAAATAATTTGCTTCCAAGAACTTTATAGTCAATTATTTACAAACTGGGAAAGTTTGGGCAAGTCACTAAACGACCCTCAGTTCCTTCCATTCCACGGTAAAATGGGGGAAAACAACCACAACCTCCAGGGCTGTTGTTAATAAATGACATACATCACTTGTTTCTAACTGGCCTCGATGACTACTCCCCACTCCCCTCTCCAGCATTAGCGATAAAATCCTATTTCATGAGTCTTATTTGCTAAACTAGGCAGGCTGGTTCCTTGCCCTGACAGTACATTAGCACTGTCATCTCTGAGTTCCTACGGTGTGCTTTTTACAGTTTACAACCCGTTTTTCCTATACATTATGTGCTCTTTCACAATCCTCTTAAGTAAACATCTCCATTTGAAACATTAAGAACCGAGGCGCAGTGAGGTCAAACGGTTTACCACCCTTTAAACCGCTGCTTAGTAAGTGGCATGGGGGAGACGCAAACCCACGTCTTCTGACCACAAAACGAGGAACAAAACATTTTGGAGGACATCAGGTGCCCTCTACCCGAGGCCCAGGGGTCAAATTATTCATCCCAGAGAGAGAAATTCAGAGCGTAAATCCCTCGGCCCGAAATTCAACCCTGAAGCAAAAGCTGCGGAGAGCCTTGGAGGAACCGAGGTTTGAGTAACAGCCTACCAGGAAGAGCACCCAGGGTCAAAATCAAAAGATTTAGACCTAGAGAAGTCCCTGAGGACTGGCCGAGACACGAAGGGAGCCCCACAGGAAGCCGGCGGCCGCACGCCGGACCTTCGGCAGGACGGACCGAATCTGGTGATGCCAGAGGCTTTATCCTGCCGCGAACAACAGGCCGGAGACAACGACACCTGCCGATGAACTTTCTGGGCCTGCCCAGCTTCTAGGGACTTTTAGACGGGAGAAGGAGAGGGCGGCGGTTACCTTCACAGTGGCTCACCTTCACAGTGGCTCACCGCGAGCCCGCCATCTTGCTTCAATCCGGGTCCTAGGAGACACCCCTCCACGCGCCTCCCCAGCCCGCGGGGCACTCTGGGAAATGCAGTCTCCGCCGGAAAGAGCCCTGGGTGCCCCAGGACGGCGGGGATCCACCCATCGTGCTCCCGCGTTTAGCTGCCTCCAGCTTGCCTGCGACTTTACCCGCGTTAACCAAAAAAAAAAAAAAAAAAAATCACTACCACCCACAAATACCCTTAAAAACAAAAGCACTATTTTTTTTATTTATACTAAATAATTAGAGGAACTTGAGATCCCTCTTTGGATGAGTTGTTTTCCTAGGAGAAAAGGCATTTCAGCGAAGCACTGAAGTGGGTGGGGTTGGAGTTGATATATGAAATGGGAAAGCTTGAAAACCCAGCCCCGTATTCTGAGAACTGTGCTGGTTATTCATTATAGGAGGAAGACATGTGCAGAATTCTTGACCTTGTCTTATAGCTTAGAGGGAAGAAAAGGCCTCTAGGCCTTCGCACTTTCTGTTCTCGTAGCCAGGAATGCTCTTCTCTCACCTCTTCTCATTACCATTGCCTTACTTCATACAGGTTTTGCTACAATCTTATCTTAGAGAGGACCAAATCATTAAAATAGCCTTACCCGCCCTTATCCCATTGCCTTCCTTCATTTTTTCATAACATTTACCATTATATGATATTACACTGTCATTTATTTCCTCATTTAATGTCTGTCACTTATGCCAGAGTACCAGATCCATTAAGGCAGGGAGGGACAGGTATCTATTTTGTTCTACACTGTGTACAAATCCAACATCTTTAACTGTGCTTGGCTTCATTGTGGGCCTCCAATATTAGTTGAATGAATAAGACAATTAAATAACATGGCAAGTATTCAAGATAGTAGATGACTGACTGCTAAACAGCAATTTAGCTTGAATTCTTTTCCCCCATGATTTGCAAAATTTCAGCTTTATGTACATTTTTCTGAAAAGGATTCATAGCTTTTATCATGAAATCAAGATGGTTGATAAACATCTTAAAAAGTTAAGGGCCATAGGTTCCTTAAAAAACTAAAAATAGACAACATATGATCCAGCAATCCTACTCCTGGGCATAAATCCAGAGAAAACTATAATTCAAAAAGACACATGCACCCCAATGTTCATAGCAGCACTATTTACAATAGCCAAGACATGGAAACAACCCAGATGTCCATGGACAGATGACTGGATAAGGAAGAAGTGGCATATATATACACAATGGAATACTACTCAGCCATAAAAAATAATAAAATAATGCCATTTGCAGCAGCATGGATGGACTCGGAGATCATCATACTAAGTGAAGTAAGCCAGAAAGAGAAAGAAAAATACCATATGCTATCACTTATATAAAAATGAACTTATTTACAAAACAGAAATAGACTCACAGACATAGAAAACAAACTTATGGTTACAAGGGGGTCAAGGGGGTGGGAAGAGATAAATTGGGAATTCAAAAATTGCACCACTTGGGGAGTGATGGAAATGTTAGTTATCTTGAAAAAAAGATTATATATGTGTTAAAAAAGTGAAGGGTCATAGTCCTGAAGTGATTAATATTGAAAATAAATGAACGTAAGTTCACAATGAAGAGAAATAAATGTGGGCTGTTGTGGTGTCTCTCCTTACTTCCCACAGAATATCAGCCTGGTTCCACTGCTAATCTGTGTTCCTTGAGGACCCATCTCTGTCCTTTTGAATCTTGTCCATCCTTCATCTTTCTGGGCTATGCTATATGAAGAGACAGAGAGGAGGAACAGATTTAAATGAACAATCAACTGAACTTGTTGGACATTTACTGTGCAAAGCGGAAGAGGGGCAGAGCAAAGGTGGTTCCTTTCAGGACACGTCTTGACGGCTGTGAGCAGAGTGGGGACTACGGACCAACAGGGAGACTCACTTAGTGGGGCCAGGAAAGGTTCACAAAGCTGAGACAGAAAAGAAACCAACCATGTGCATGGGAAATAGAGTAGAGACAGCTCTAGGCTGAGGGAACAACTTACAAATTAAAAGGGGGTGGAAATAGCTTAACATATGTGGGAGTGTGGTGTGGAGTTTAAGAGGCAGGTCATTTTGGGCTTTGTAGGCCTTGGTGGTAATAACATGGAATTAGGACTCAGACCCATTTGTATAGATGTTATTCGAAACGCAGTAGGGCATCACTGAGGGTATTTAACACAAAAGAAGTGACATGATATGATGGGTTTTTGTTTTTTTAAAGATTACTCTGGCTGTCCTGTGAGGAGCAGTTTGGAGAGAGGCAGGACTGCAAGCAAGTCTAACGAGACTATCGCTGCTTGGCAGTCAAGTTAAGAGATGAAGATGATGTGATGGAGGGTGGCAACAGTGGAGATGGAAAGAAAAGAAAGGGGTCCAGATATACTGTGAAAGTAGAAATGATGACTGAACTTGCTGATGGATTGATTGGAGGTGGAAATTGAGAAAGTGGAAAGACACTTCAGGTGGCACCTTGATGACTAGCTTGAACGTGGGTGGTTCATGAGATAGGAAAGACTGCAAGACGAGCAGATTTGGGGGATCTGACGAGGGTGGAAACAGAGAATTCTATTTGGGAGTTGCTGAGTATGAGATACTGCTGAGATAGCCAAGTAGAGATATGAAATGAGACAGGTGGTTAGACAAATGTGTCTGGAGAATAGCAGTTAGGCTGGACGTGGACTGAAAGCCATGGGAATGTTGAGTGCACATAAGGAGAGAGTGTAGAAAAAAAGGAAAAGGACTCAGAACCTGCAGAATTTCAACATTTAGCGGTTCTCTGGAGGACGGCCAGCAAGGGGTCCTCAGAAGTGGCAGGGAGAGAGGTGGTATGAAAACCAAGAGACCACGATGTGAGAGTAGCTAAGAGAGGCATGTCCAGAAGAGTTCCATAATTTTGGAGTTCAATGCCAGCAAGTTTAAAACTGTAATTTCCAAAAATACAAACTTGAAATACAGGTAAATAACTTACATTGTCCTACATAAAAGCAGTTTAACTTTATGCTAGGGAAATGACAAAACAGACAAAATTGTATCTCTTTCCCTCCTCTCTTTCTTTCTCTCCCTTCCTTTTTCCTCTCTTTTCCTTTCTCCCTCTCTTTCTTTCTTTCTCCTTTTTCTCTCTCCTTTTCTTTTCTTTCTTTCTTTTTTTTTTTTAGCAGCCTGTCTTTGCTCTCATGCGTGCCCATCTGCTCTGCCTTGGTCTAAGGAGCCTGCAGCAGTCTGGCTGTGTTAAGTGACTGGGTGGCTATGCCTATAATTGGGTAGCTGGTGGGGGAACTATTAATAAACTCAAATTACTACTGGCTTAGAACTGCGATCTCCAATCAGCTTTATTAGTAATGAAAACAATGTTTTGATCTCCATGTCTTTCAACTGGTTATAATTTCAGGAGCGGAAATTGGATGCTATTTATTGGCCTGCTCAAAATCCAACTATCTAGAATAGTGAACACTTGGACCAGCTTTAACCCCAGCAATCTGCCTGTAAAATCTAACACTTGGACCAGGAGAATTAGAACAGACAGGAGGAAAGACATGGGTATTGGGTCAAAAGGAGTTAGAAAAACAGGAACAAGAAAGTATAAGTTGAGGTTGCTCTTGCAACCACTTTGTTTTCTTGAGCAGATCAGATAATATGGGACTGTGTGGCTCTCAAGCTCTGGACCCATCAGTGGTGCCTGGGGAGCTGGTTAATAACCCAGATGCATGGGGCCATGATACTCTCAGAGATCTTGGATGGGGCTCCTGTGCCCATATGTTTAAACAGCCTCTAAGGTGATTAGCACTCCAAAATTTGAAAACCTCTGCTCCAGAGTATATCGGATCCAGGCCGTTGTACTCAGAAGTCAAACAAAGTTTTCAAAACATTTCTAATCATACTGGTAGAAGGTGGGCAGTTCTCTGCAGAAAGCAAGAGACACAAGTGAGAAGCACATGAAAAGTCAATAGAACTGGAGAGAGACAGGTGATGGAAGGGAACAGGAAAGGTGATGGGAGTGTACTGAAAAGAAGTTTGGGCAGGGCACACCAGGTGGGAAGAAATAAGGAAACAGTTTAGGCTGGACAGGCTGAGTAAGCTCACAGGTGGAGTAACACAACAACTGGAGCCCAAGGACACAGAATACAAATAGTTTTCTTGGGAACCTGAAAGAGTGACCCACAGAGGCATGGGAAAGAGTCTTGCTTCTTCTGAGTTCCTGTTCCAGCCAGGCTTCTGGCTTAGCCTTGAGTCACCATCCTCTGGAATCCTGTTTCCACTGGGACCTGACCCAAAGAAAGGAATACCCCCCTTCACCTACCTTTATAGAAAAATTGCAGAATCAATGATTCCTACAGAATGCCTCCAGTGGTGCATGCACTTAAAGCTCTTTGTAGGTGAGATAGCATTCAAAAATGCTTTGTAAAGCATAAAGCACTAAACAAAGGTCAGCCATATTACTCTGATTCTCTTGGATCTCATCTTTCTGGAAACCTTCGCCTGGAGGTGGTGCTCCTGTGACCCTGGAGGACCCTACTGAGATCTATCCTATAGGCTGGCATTGTGTTGGTTACAGTTTGTAATTGCTCAGCTATTTACATTGAAGTCATGAATATGAGGCAACAGGCTTTTTTTCCCTTCCTTTTAAAAAATCATTGTGTAGCTTTCTCTTCCTCCCCCACCCACTTCCTCCCTGAGTCAGTGTACATGAACCCTCTTCTCACAGATACTTCTGTCTTGAGCGCCCACGAAACAGTTTTCCTATGCTGCAAGAAACAATAAGAGTACTTGCAAACAAAGACTTCTGCCTGATGACGATTGCTCATTAATTGAAACAGGATCTTTATTAAAGGTGATGATCTATGATTTTCCAAACTGATCTACTCAATTTTATCTCTGCAAAGCATGAGACAGTTTATGAAAGAAACTCTATTGTCCTCCAGGAAGTCAAGTTGAAAAGGTGAGGT